CAGGGATGACAGCTGCACTACAGGCTGCAATAAATAACCCTCAGTCTGTGCGGCTGAAACAAGCATTGCATATAGCTCCCAGGCTCCTTGATGTTTATTTTGCTATAGCTCTACGAGAAGTGAATGACTGTACGTCTTGAATCCTAACATTAGCTGAGAGTCGGTACACGCTATTTGTCTTCTTCTGATTCGTTTGTAGAAGAGCTTAACTGTGTCTCACCATTTTTCCTTGAACTTTCTCGCATTCGCAGCTTTGATCTGTGCATTGATTCCCCTGCTAATGTCCAGAATTTCCAAAATATTTCCAGACAAGACCTTCTCCTATGAGGTACTTCCTTAATATAATGTGTTTAATAAACTTCATTTGCATTTTCCTTACTGTTGCACAAGTATTAAGTAGTGAAGTATAAGGTGAGAGTAGTTGTTATAACTAGAGATTAGTACGATCTAGTGGCCCTAAACTAGCATATCCTATGCAGTTTGAGAAGAACTTAAAACACTTGATAGGCAAGACGTAAACTTTGTTTATTTCTGATTACACTGAACTGCCTTTACAGAGCATATTGGTAAGAGTTAAGAAAAGAAAATGTAACTATAATTTCTTAGGAAGTTTCTCATATTAGTTTAATGGAGCTTTTTTAATGAATGACTTGGTGAATTAGCTCTAATTATACAAGTCACCAGCTCCTTTCAGACCATAATTTTCAGGAATTTTCTCGTTTTATGGTGATGGATCTTTCTAATGGATGACCCTGTGAAATAGGTCCATTTATACAATTCAATAGCTCCTTTGGATGCAAATGTGATATACTTTGTAACTGTTTTAATGTGATGTTCTATTGTTTGGTAGAGCATGATCAATTACATCTTTGTATCTAAACAACAGTATATTTCACATCCTATAGAACATCCTTTCTTGCTTGGATGTTTTGAATTTGCATGCATACAAATGCTACACTGTTATTTGAAGTGTTTGGGTATTTGCCATTTCCACTGTAGGTTCAAAAGAGGCTCTTGGAATTCATGCTTGCAGCATTTCAGCGTTCTCCAAACTTTGTCGCTCTTCTGAAGGTAATATTCTGTTGGAAGAATTGTTCCAATATTCTTTCTGCTTGGTAGTTTAGTTCAGCCAGTCCTAGCAGTGATCAGGCAGCATTAACAGTAATGTCATGTCAATGAAGAGCAAGCTCATAATTCCGTATTTGGGAGTGGTTTCTTCTGCCCAAACGTTTGGTAGGCTCAATACAGTTCTATACGACTTGAATATAGAAAGAGGAAGGAGCTATGTGTACGTAGGTAAATTGATTTGTTCAGCCACCATTTTGATGGTCTACCTTTCATGTGTGGACTGTGGTATGGAATGACAATAACAGAACATTTTCATCCTATCACCACATTCCTTATGGTTTCAGAGGGCACAATCTTTGTTTTACTCGAATGACAGTTTTCTGACTGGAAGTTGTTGATTATCTTCAGTATACACCTTATTTAAGCCTTATCTAAGGACATATCCAAATTCTTTGCAGAAACCTATCATGGATAGGCTTGGAGAAGCTTATGATAGTCCTGCAAAGGTCAGAGAATTTCCTCCATATTTCTGCTTCCAGTTAAATTATGCAAATGGCAAAATTATTTGCTATTCTCTTCTCTAGACAGAGTTGGCGCTACAACTGTGTTGGGCCATTGGGGAGCATGGAGGAGGAGGTGGATCTCACAAAGATGCTGCTCGTGAGCTTTTTGAGAGCTTAGAGCTACTCTTATATGAAAATCTTTCATCAAGGTAAGCTGAGCCATTACCTTTGGGCCCTTACCGTGGACACTTTGAAATGCTTCATCCATTACTAGCTGGTGTCACCTTTAGCACTACCAGACTACTCATAAAGTTTATTTCTCAATTATTTGTGAAGTCGTCTTGGGCTAAGGCAGGATTTGGCTGTTGGATCCAATGGTGACGCATCTAGAAAGTCATCACAGGCAAGGCTTCTGTGTTTTGTGATAACAGCAATTGCAAAGCTTGCTACTTACCATCGTGAGCTGCTTCCAAGGGCACGTGTGTCCTTAGGCAAGGTAGGTTGTCGATCTGAATCAAAATGTTTGACAACCGCAGTAAGAGAAAATGCTTTTGTGTATGTATTCATGTGATATCTTGTCCTTGTTTAGTATTTTCCCAGGTCTGTGGTGTACTTTGTTAAACATCAATGCCAGATTGTCAACGATTAAAATTCCCTAAGTCGCTCTTGCCTGACCAGGTAGCACGATCTCGAATATCAGATGACCGGGTTTGGAGGCGTGCACGAGATTATTTAGGTCTTATGAGTGAGCCTGCAATTTGTATATCTGTCTTGGGGCCCTCACAGCCTTCAGATGAACATATGCAGAGCCCTGGTGTGGTTAACTGGAGTGAAGGTTGCACAAAGATGAATACACATGTTCCGTTTTACATTTTAGGAGAACAAGAAGGTTAGTTTTTTCCTCTTCCTTGTTTTTTTTGGCTGAGAGGTGACAAAAGATTCAGAAATCAAGTTAAAAATCTCAAAATAGAGAAGGAAATTTGGGTGGTTTTAGTGGCTGTTTTCAAGGGCACTCCGTTCTCAGAAGTGCATTAAGTGATCAAAGAGTAAATTAGCTAATTATGCCATGACACCACTTATCAAGGTTTGCACACTATTTGCATGTGCTTTTTCCTTCCATACAATGCTTTTATTTTTCTTTTCAGTTGCTTCCTGGGAGGCACACAGGTTAGTAGAGATTGGTTTTATAACCACTTCTAAGCAAGAAAAAGAAATCAAAGAAGATTCTTATTTGGATTCAATTGGCACATTATAAGGCCCTAAAATTGCTAGATATATCATTCCGTTGGACGGGTGAAGTGTACTTGAGAACTAAATAATGTAATTGAATTTTTACACATTACGCATTTAAAGTTGTGTACTTTTCCTTACCTACTCAGAATCTGCTGAAAACCCCTAAGTTCCAAGGCATCTTCAGACAATGAAAGGCTATGATCCTAGGCTCTTCTCCCAAAAGCTACATCTCCTAGGGATCTTAGCCTACATTTATGCATGGTCATAGCATCTGCATCCTTTCCAACGTTTGGACCTTGTCATGGTTTCCGCATAGCATTTGGTCCATGCATTCTATGTTGACTTAATCGAACAAGCAATGGAGTGAATGATTAAGGAACTGCAGTTTACATTCAGCATTCGCTATTTTTGCACATCACAGGTCCACCTTTCCATGATTTTTCATTTACCGACATCCTCCCCAGTAGATGAAGGCTGCGAGGTCTTTCCAGAAAGGCTTGCAATTCGGAAGCTCTTAATTGAAATCAACAGTTCAGTTCAGTGATCTTGTGTTCTCTTCCAGAGTATTTCGCTGCTACACTGCTTTTTTTTTTTTGTGGGAAAAGAATTGGTGTTGAATAGCTCCCTGTATATCCTTTCCATTAAGTATAGGTTGTCAATAGGTTGTCTCTTGATGCAGCAAAACCTGTACTTCAGGGTCAGGTTTCATTTTCATGTCATTTCCTGCTTCGAAGAAAAAGAGGAAAACCTATGTTTCCGGTATGCCGGTGAAGCGCAGCCTCCTTCAAGAGCGAAAGGCTTGCCACATATCCAACCCGAGAGAGAGATCAAGTAGTTGAAGATTTGTGTGTAGTTCGCAATTTCAGTCGTGATGTTACTGAACTCGGAAAAAATTGGAGTTGTTATTGCATACGATGTACCTAGAAAAGTGCAATTACATCTGTGAGCCAAGGCTAGCATCGGAGCATGGAAAGAGTTATGTCCAATTATATCTGTGATATATAACATCATGAAATCGTACTTATGAAAGTGCAAGCTTCGCGAATTGGGCAATAAGGGCCGCGACCCAAGTCAAGTGCCCACTTTAGACGATCTTTAGATTTGACGCTACGTCAAAATCAGTCAAAGTTTCGTATGTGTATCGTTTTATATGAGCACATACAAGGACTGTGAATTGAACCATCCTACTCATGGGCAAAATATACTAGCAATAATAATTAAGGGATAGAATAGAAAAGTAGATATAAATGTATTGCTTTCTTTTTTTCTTTCTCGTTGCCAAATTGAATTCAAGATTCACAGCAAATTTATTATTTCTCCACCAATTCAACGAGGAAATATGCTAGTTCTCAGACAATGGAGGTGTTGGAAAGTTACCAGCAAGATAAAATTGTTTTCAAGGATATAGTAATCGATCTACGTATTCAGCATGTAAGACTGCTAGGGAAGAAAAGCCTCTCTATTCCATTCATAAGAAATGTTTGTTTTTTCCCCTTCTTTAATGAAGAGAACAAGAAATTCCATTCTAGACGGATAGATTTCCAACTTAAGTTATCTTATCGACATCATTGATAAGTCAAGATGCGATGACAAACCCGCGTGGCTAAGCTAACCACGGCCCCGAGTTTGTATTTGTCTTAGTCGTGTCGGGATTATTCGACAAGTTTCATTAAATCTTTCCAACACTTAGGGATGAAAAGGATATTAAATTCATATCGACCCACACAGACAGGGAAAATACTCCCATGAGCAGTCGCGATAATCTGTGGGATAATATATAGTCAGGCCATCCAATGTTTATAAGTGGTCCAAACTGCACTGAGATAGTCAACGAAACAGTGACCCTCATGCATGCTTTCGGAGCCATAAAGCTCACTGTTCTAAACGTCGATGTACTGAAAGTGAATGAATGAAACAAGCTTGGACTTTGCCGGCAAACAGGTCAATAATAGGGAAAAGAGAAGGCCCTTTTCAATGATCTTCTGCATGCAACCGAGCCATGCACGTGAATGCATCCACGCACATCGTGAAATAACAAAACCAGCCTCGTTAAGCTATACATGAGACTGCCACCAGATTTGGATCACCAGCTTGAGTTAGAAGATCCAACGTCAGAAGAGCTAGATCATGCACGTATAGCAATATGTTCCTTGCTAAACACACAACATATGATCGCGACATAAGGACAAAAAAGCATAAGCGAACCACTTGTCCAAATGATGCATGACAACATCAGCGTTTAACTTAAAACCCAGGTCAAAGCAGATGGCTTATATAGCTTCCGACGCCTTATGAGAAGATGCTTCACAACACACAACAGACGAGAGTCTCGCAGACAGACACATCACATATACAACAGACACAACATACGACAACGATACATTACAAGAGTTCAAGTCGCGCTTTATTTTATTCTATAGCATATGACTTGGCAGTAGTTTTGTTTACAACAGACAGATTCATATGGCATACTTCGGATCTGCACAACCCAACTCTCTTGCCCTTTCTTCCCCCAGAACAACTGCACTAACGACAAACTCAGCTGGAATCTTCAATGCACTGAAAATGAAGGGGTAAAGGACATTATTAACAATAAAATCTAAAAGAAGATGGATCATGCAACTCTACCTAAAGTTAGGAAATCACCTAATGATAATTATGTTTTTAAGATATATCTATGCAAAAATATTTCTCCCACATATCATGGGTTAGTTTCTCAACGCAAGTGATGATTAGGTTAATTAGCATTACTATTATTGAGGAAGATATTTTGCTTGCATTTTATTCAATATGGTTGCAAAAAAAAATGAAAAATCCCCTAAAAGTCACGCAAGGTTGAACCACGCACATGTGAGAGGGTTCCATTACATGACTCTGTAAATCTCAACGATGAGTATTATGAAATGTATAATAAGTGATGACCCCTATGTTTGAAAATCTTGTATAGGTATCCATTGTGACAAAGTATTTTGTCGTATTTCATAAATAAAAAGACATTACAAATTAGTAAAAAAAATTATATATCTTGATAACACATGCTTTACAAATAAATTTAATAAAAATGTACTAAATGTGTGCTAAATAATATCCTCGCCGAGAGTAAAAAAAATGTAGAAATATTTATTATAATATGTAGGAAAATTGTCAAAAAAGTCATAAACATTTTGCATTGATGCCAATTTAGTCCTAAACCTTTTTTTAGTGCCAATTCAGTCCTAAACCTTTTGCATTGGTGCCAATTGAGTCCTAAACGTGTCAATTCAGTCATAAACATTTTATATTGATGCCAATTCAGTTCTGAACCTTTTGTATTGGTGCCAATTGAGTTCTAAACCGTTTTTTTGTTCCAATTCAGTCCTAAACCTTTTGCATTGGTGCTAATTCAGTCATAAACCTTTTATATTTGTGCCAATTCAGTCCTTCTGGTTAATTTAGCTAAAAAAAGTTAAGGACTGAATTGGCACAAGTGCAAAAGGTTTAGGACTAAATTGGCACCAATGCAAAAGGTTTAGGACTCAAGTGGCATCAAAAAAAGATTTATGACTCAATTGGCACAAATGCAAAATGTTTAGGACTAAATTGGAACAAATGCAAAAGGTTTATGATTGAATTGGCACCAAAAAAAGGTTTAGGATTAAATTGGCACCAATGCAAAAGGTTTAGGACTTTTTGACACTTTTGTCTTATAATCTGGTAGCTAATATTTGACAAATAAAATACACACAGACACGTATAATTATGCGACAAATCTGTGCTACATTTTGCTTTGTCTATATATATATAAGTCATGCTTGTTTTCAAGACCAACTTAGCGTATAACTCCAAAGAATCTAAAATTGACAAAAAAAATAATGAAACTTATCTAGAACGAACCATTTAAAAAAGAACCGGACTCTCGAAGCAAGATTAGAGAAAAAACATGCTTACCGGTGTAAATGTTCGGTCTCATTCTCCAAACTCTTGTTTCGCGAAAGATGTCGGCTTCAATGTAAACCTCCATAGCAGCTTGGATTGCATCGACAGTTTTTGTGATGATCTTGTAGACTTCATCAGCTGTATCACGAGGGAGTATATTACCTTGCATTCTTCCGGACACGTCCATGATGTGAAACGCAATAGTCAAGAGACTTCTGCGGCTATCTCCTCCGAGCACAGTTGGCTTCTCGGGCAGAATTGTGAAACCCGAAGGCAAAATCACCACCGTATCCGGGTTTCCGCCATCTAAGAGTGAGGCCATCGCTCCATGGTCGACAGGAGCATAAACAACATAAGAGCCTGTAGGGTCCGAGTAAGCGTTTTGCAAGTAAAGGACAGAGGCACAGTTCAGAGCCGGCTGCCAAGAAAAAAAAGGCAAAGCTATCAAACTAAATGTGGTTTTTCTAATGAGTATGCTATCTGATGAAGCGAGGAAGAAAAGAGATTTAGAACTTACCTCCACTTGCATAATGGACACGCGAGTCCCCGGATTTGCTCCTGTGGAGATGTATGTGGCTTCCCGAATGACTCGCTTAGAAGCAAGAGCATCCCACTAGAAAAGGGTTGGAGAAAAGTACCAAAATCAGCCAATATAAGACTATGATTCAGCGTGTCACTTAACCAGAGTGCTGAAATAATTCCGGTATCGACATTCACCACGAGCAGAAAAATGCACCCCGCATAACTTTGTCAACCCAATGAAAACATTATCTTTCACCATAACAATCGTTTAGTTGTATAGAAACTTGACATACAGATACATGCATCAGATCACGAGCATTCAAGCAAAAGCAAGAAGCTATTCAAGAAAAACTTCTGCATGATGTGTCTTAATTGATAAAGATCATTATGAGATCGCACGCTTACACAATTAAAGTCAAAATCTCCGCCCTATAAGACTACTGAATGGTTCTATCACCATAAGTTAAGGTCCATTTTTGTACGAGGACTGATGAGACAGGCAAATATGTATGCCTGAATTTGAAAAAAAAAATCGCACATGAGAGTTTCTAAAGATTACGTCCAAAAAAAAGAAGTTTCTAAAGACAAATATTTCATCTCTATCAGCATCACTTGCGAAAATAAATCTTTCCATCAGCAATGCCCAAAGCAAAGATCACCTGAACTTATTCATTTCAATGCATAGGCAGTTCTATATGTTTGAAATAGTTAACTCAGTGAAGCATATCTCAATAAAACAACTCATTAGCATATGATAATACACCAAATTTTGCACTCCATCATTCATTCATTCACTAATATATTTTTTTTAAGTATTGATGTATACTGCACAGTACCTTATCTCGGAGGGTCCCGTCAGAGAGGAAATTGAACACTTTTTTGACTGGAAACGGGAGGCAAACCGAGGTGGTGAAAGCAATTGAAGACCCATGAGGCTTCCCAATATCTCCGCCATAGTTGGTCCTGGTGGTCACCATCATATCTTTCCCTCCAATTGCTGCTAACAATGGAGACCACATATTTGATACACAGCCATTCACTTCGTTCAGGTAAGTTCTCATCATTCTCTCGGCCAACTTTAACAGATTCTCCCTCCCACTTTGTGATATCAACACTGCACATAATACGCCGAAAATCATAAAGCTGGTGTTAGCTAGAAATTACATCAATCATCATGAAACCATTTTACTAATATCAGAATAACAAGAAAAAAAGTTCTATTTATTTTTTCTTTTTGGTGTGTGTGTGAAGTAGTTTTACCATTGTTGTATGTGGCATTCTGATTAGGCACCATTAGAGCTTGCAGCCATTCAGCTTGCCTGGTGATGGCAGAAATCCAGCGCTTTGCACCAAATGCAAATCCAGAGGAAACAATTGGCCCGTAGATGCTATGGATTGAGGCATAGTCCACTCCTCCATTCTCAAGCCAAGTGACCTAAAATGCACATAAAAGTAAAACACAGTTGGCAACATAACTATAATTATGTCATTCCCCGTTTAATCGCATGTATTTTCTGTTAAGCATCAGTATGTATCATAAGTAGCTATCCATAGATGGATATATCAATTAAACCGAACATAGTAAGTGTGGAGTATTCATTAAACTTAAGAGTCAAACCTTAGAGGAACCATTTGGTAATTGTTGTATCAGACAACCTGATGGCCTCCTTTGGTACTTGATGAATGAACAAGGGAACATGCACTCTAGTGAATAGTCGACTACTCCCCACAGGTCCCAGTCGAGCTGTTTGCAGTACCTAGCAAAGTAAACGGATCTCGCGGGAACAAGGGCAGTAGGAATATGAAATTCTGCAGACATCTAGGAGACAGATTAAAGAAAAAAGAATTAGCTAGTGTTGGAAATGACTATATAAATCTATATAACTTCTAGTTTGCACACATGGGTGCATTGTCTAACTAGCTTTGAAACTACATCTAGGAATTAAAGATGAGAAAAGGACACTTCAATCATTGACCGAGGTTTAGGCAGTATAAATGACAGACTTTTAGAGACATAGCACACTCGTATTCTATTTTGAGAGTGAAAAAAAATAAGGTAGTGTTCACATGTCAAATATTTTGATAGTTCTCACTAGAAGTGAGCACCTTGTCCCCAACCACAAGCTGAAAGACATGTATTCGTGCAATTTTCGTTCCGTATATTATTTAAATGCTAAAGTTTGAACAAGGTCATGTAAAACATCAATTGTCATCAGGAAATGGTGAGAAGCTTTGAACATATTCTCGACATTCTCAGACAATTATTCACAATGGTGAGAGAGATATGGAAAGGCTCAGCCAACATATGTTGGTTTTTCATGAACTTATTGATGCAATACTAATGCATCGTTACTCATATATAGGTTGATATGATACGTGAAAAGATATAGGGAAAACAGTCGGCTAAGTACATTTCGTCAACTCCAATGATCGACAATATGGGTGATGAACAAACAATTTTGTAGCCATGTACTCTCATCATACGGTTAAAATACAAGAAATTTCATACATACCACTTGCAAAGTCCCATCATATGTCCCTGGTGTGCCAGGATACAAGACTCCTAATACAGTGGGCTTAGACACGATGTTGGAGAAGTTAGCCGGCCATTGATCCTGAGAATGATCCAAAAAAATAGAACATTAGTGTGTTGAAAACAAATCATTCTATGTATGTTGACTAGTTAATAAGGAAACCAGTCCCACCACATCCATAAGCATTGCAACAATACAAAACCGAGACATATTGATGACAGCAGTTTCTCGGGAAGCTTCAGTCTTAAGCCTTCCTATTGTAGGAACTCTCGGCACATGCTCGGGGGATGAGTTCAGAAATTCAGTGGTGTTGGATGGATTTGGCCTATTTGGCAGCTTCCCCCATTCGTTATCGGCCACTTCCTCTGGGAAGAGATCCTGCACAGCTGGATCTTGCTTTTGAAACGCACATCTGTACTCAAAATCATGTAATAGTTCCGTCACGCCGTCGTCTTGGAGTTGCCATAAGGGTTCTCTCATCTGGGCCACCGTCATTAACTCCTCCATGGCATCCAGGGATCTTCCAAATATTAATCGCCTTGTGGGCTCGGTAGTTATCGAGACTTTCATTAATAGATCAGTTGCCCTAGCAACTCCCCCTCCTATACCTGAGCTTGATGCACAATCAGAGACACCACTTACCTGTGGTGAATGCTGAGCTCCAAAAGGCTCAGGAGATTGGTTAGCATGAGCATTGGTTTGAAAAAAGTCGATCGTATGTGGTTAATTGGAGAGAGATTTAGTATGTGATTAGAAAACTTTGAATTTTAACATGAACACAACAGTCGATTGAAAAAATAGGGTTTTAGGGTTTGGCTAAAATATCGTGATGAAATTAATCTGCACACCCATGTCTATTTTACGCTTTTCATGGATATGATCATCATCCTTCTTAAAAGTGTGAAAAACAATCGTCAGGGTTCATTTGATGCACTTTGCATGCTGAGATGAGACAAGTAGTCACCTTGGCATCAATAACAAGTTGTAAACCTAGGTCCATCCCTTCATCGGGAATGGAATCTGATTGCGCAGACCTGTAAAAGGGGGCCAAAAAAAATCAAAGATACAAGTCATAGCACTTTCTCAACAGAAACATAGTGACAAGATAAGAGTAATTGCAGATCAAAAAACAAAACTAAGGACAAGATGCTGGTGAGATATATATTTTCAAATGTGAGGAGAAAATTCTGCAATTAAAAATATCAAACAGAAGAAAGAAAAACCCTACTGCTCCACTGGATTGAGCTGAGGATCGGCCAATGCACGATCACGTTCGGGATCAGCCATAGGAAAGAGCGGGAGGACTTCGATCTCCCTCTTCAGTGCCTCATCAATGTTAACTTCACCACCACCCATTTTATTCATCTCTACAGGAAAAAAAAGACGAGATTTTTTTGGGTTTAGCTCACCTTATCTTTAGACCCTTCAGTTCGCAGAAGAAAATTCAACAGAAAGCCCCATAAAAGATAAACCGAAGCTGCAAAAAAGATAAGACCAAGATAACCAAATCGTTATCAAAGACTCAGATATTGCAAAAAGATCACACCATATTCCTTCTGGGTTAGCTCAATATATTCGTGTATCAAAATTCATCAGAAAACCCATCCTTTTTTTTTGTTTCTTCTGGAGAAATGACATGATCAGCACAACCAGATTGTTTGTAGAACAGATTTGAACAAATCTTTAGCAGATTAAAACGATCTGGAAAAAGTGAAGGAAAAAAGTCCTCCTCTTGAGACACTCATATCTACAAGATCCACACTCATGCAAGCTAAGAAAAGATTCACCTGAAACCACTGGCAATGGAGAAACCAGCTCTCTCTCTCTCTCTCTCTCTCTCTCTCTCTCTCTCTCTCTCTCTCTCTCTCTAGGTCTTGATGTGATTGTAGTGTCTGAGAATGAGTACTAGAGATGACGGAGACATGCACATATATAGGGGGCGAAATTAATTGAGGGAGAAGAGCACAAGCGAAAACAGAAGCGCGATGGTGTGACGTTCAGGTGATTTTTGATTGGTCCGTTTTGGTCTATGAGAGTGCGGACTTCAAGTGAATGTTTTTTTTTGGGGATAAAATCTAGGAATGGTGATGGTCTCGCCTGACACATCAGCATTGTTTCATCCTACTCCAGACTTGGAGTAGACCTGTCTAAACCTAATCCCAATCTCGAAAAGCTCATGATTTTCTTTTCTCTTTCCTTTTTATTTTTTTAACATTTTTTTAAGTGAATTCAATTTTTTTAGGTACATGTCTTTCTTTTTCTTCTTGGGATTTTTTTTTAAATTGATAACGCAGAAAGCTGAAAAATGGGAAGCCGCGTTATCTTATATTTTCGTAATAAGAAAAAAAAAAATGTAAGAGGGAGAATATGAGATTCACATATTGATGACCTTCATTAAGGTGAAATTCGACAAGTGGGTAAATTCATTTATATAAATTATATTTGTCCAGTAATTTGTATTTTAATGATTCTTTTTTTTTTTGTAAATTAATATATCGTGATGATATTTCTTCTGGTAGGAATAAAAAATGAGGAGGTTGTATAGACTCCGTTTGTTTTATGGAAAATGAATTATTTGAAATTTTTTTTCCTAAAAACGATTGCTTGTATCGCTTGAAATAATTAGTCAATGGAAAATGCTTTTCATTATAGACAACAATTTATGTCTAAATATTTTCATGTACAGTGAAAATATTTTTGTTTATTCATTTTTGTAAGCGATACAGATAATCATTTTAAGGAAAACGTTTTTCAAATTATTCATTTTTTGCAAAATAAACTGAGCCATAGTATTGTTTTCTTTGTTGGAAGTTCAAGATATTTTGTGTTTTAATTTTTGAGAACCAAATCCAATGAAAGTGTTCATGATGAAATGAACGAAAGGTAGAGCTTTACTTCGTGATACAAACCCAAGCTTCAATAGTAGAAATACGGTAATTTGAAACGAAAACAAAATACCCTCATTTTCCAATTGACAGATAGAAACATATTGGATTGCTTATTAAATTTCTCGAAAATTATTCTTAAAGGTCATGACATTTCTAACAATTTTTTAATTATTTGATATCTAGTTTATCAAATTGTCAACGATATTAATTTAACTTCTACTTCTTTTGCATTGAGAACGACGCTTTTTCAGTCATTTAAATGGTGCAAATTAGATTATAAAGTTGACTTTAAATAAAGTGCAGATATAAGATATGCCAATAGATAGTTAGATGTCCACTCTTACGTAGCTAGTATCTTTTTATCTTAAAATAATGATCTTCTTTTGAAAATCAAACTTGACTTATCTGATTTTGTTTTTCGAAAATAGGAGACCAGATAAATTTATACAATGCATACATAGACGGATGCTTGTTCATTTCAGGGACATGTTGTGATGTACATTACACATTTGATTACTAAACTATGGGTGAATTTTTGGTTATGTGATCGAAAATCAATTAATTGCACTATATACTATCACATTTTTCAAATCTGAAATACATATAGTTCATCTAAGCCTTGTGTATTCATAGTACATAGTGCGACGAGTTTAGCAAGTTGATCGACTAGACAAAGCCTTGTGTATTTATAATAGCTATAGCTTTAGTTTTATCATCGTCTGTTTTTTATATTTTTCTATCCTATCCATCTCTTCGTTCATAAAGTACGTGAGTTCGTACGTGTGAAATTGCATGTAATTGCTTACTCGTACGTAAATTTATCGTATCGTTCCATGCAAAATTTAAGACCTCATCTAATTGTTTTCATTTCCCCATTCGATTTAATATTTTCATCCATAAAGTATGTCAATTTCACAGGTGTGTAATTGCATGCCTATTTATAATCTTAACATATTGTCTGCAAAGTTCAGGCGCATAATCTATCTGTCGTGCCATCAGCGATTAAGTTCATTCGTGGAAACAGATGTGGCATAATTGGAAAGCATTGGAAACAAGAAAGTGAGTCGGTATGCAAAAAAAGAATGTATTCTACTAAAGAAAACACTATGGCGGCTATCTTATGCGGTGTTCTTAATGAGGGTTAATGCGCACAACAACCTCGTGATGCACTTAATGGTTCCACCAGTACTAAACTTTCCAATGTTGTCGACTGGTAATTTCTTACATCACATTAGCTTGTTATCAACATTGACATTGAAAAACACGAGCCGACTGGACTCAGATCCATGGGTTTTTTAATAGGTTGTAGCATGCCATTAAGATTACTGGTTTCAATATGCCTTTTCGTTTTCTTTTGTTAGTTCCATCACATCAAGTCAGCTGTTCGATTTCTGAGAGAATCACTAACATTGAGAAAAAAGAATCAGCATGCAAGATCTGCAAGAACGTTGGAGATGCATAGCTATACAAATTGCAATGGCACTCCCGTCGTTTTGCCACTGCCCTTCTTAACTTTACTGAACAAGCATGGACGCGTACTTGTTCTTTATATGCAGAAATGACAATGCTTTACCATTTCCGCTACTGTGTTCTGTCGGGTCATTCCATGGTTTTGTTCTTGTGCTTTTCTGATTAAGAAATTGCTCGTTGCAGCTAAAAAAGAAAGGAAAGAAAGGTGTGGAGCCGAACAAGTAGAGCACTTCACACGGGTTCATTTGATTTGCTCGATCGAGACAATCGAGCACTGATTGACGGAAAGTTGGGCGCACAGATGTTACCATTCAATAAGCTCGAGCAACATAAGATACTTTACTACGTTGCCAACAGTCAAGGAGTTAATGAAGAAGCTGATATACTTCTGAGATTGCATACTTTCGTCCAGAGTTAGAGTTCCGTGTCGGTCCTACGTAGGTACAACTGGATTTCATAGGAATCAGATCTTGCTTTACCAGTATGAGACCAAGCGTTTTGACGGGGTCAATGTAAATCCTAGAAAATTATCCCAACGTCTTCTAGACAGTCACTTTTCATTATTTTGTCTTTGCTTCAATTACTATATAAGACAGCATAAGTAGTTATGGCTATGAATGCGCATCGTGATTCCCTGGTGGTCAAATGAAATCTTCAAACAAACTTGACAAGATGGAGAAGACTCGGGTCAAGCTACAGATGGCAAGATTCCCACGAGAATCATTTTGATCTGAGCTTGACTGATCATGTTGCTTAATTGCTTATTTCTTACCATTCTTTGTATAACTTTTCTTGCGAAAATATGCGATTGGATAATAATAAAAACAGAACGACTATATCAATCCGATACCGAATTTATATTGCTTGGTCAATGTAACCCAATTCAGGGAAAGAGCGACATAAGATTTCACTGTAGATCAAACACCACAACGGAAATTGCAATGACGGGTCGCTTAAACACTCTCGGTGATTCTCAGTACCCAATTACACACAACGACTTGTTTAATTCTTACAAATTCTCGTGAAATGGTATCTTTATTTCACAAAGCAATTACACAAATTTTTCTCAGCAAGGTTTTTGCTATCCGACACCTCTTAATCAGGATGCAATTCATGAAAGTTTCTCCAAAGATTTGCAGGAGAACTCCATCAATTGGACAAGATCCTAACTCTGCACAATCACGGGCGTCAGTTGCAGTACACACGCAAGCTAGGCTAGAAGACGAAACCTTGAAACAAAACGCATATATGACCGTGGAGTAAAAAATTGAGCCAACTTAGAATTTCTTCCTAAGAATCTGAACTTCCCCGCTACTCTTACGGCCCCTTAAGAGCTTTTCAATTGCCGCGGACATCTTCCAAATCCAAGCAGTGCTTGGATTCCGCTGTAGCCATGGACTTTATAAGAAGGCCAACTCTAATTGCCTCATTAGTCACTCCACAAGATTTCTCAGACACAAGTTTGTCTTAAGGAAAAACCACCATAGCATCCAAACTTGTTAGGTGATCGCACATGCACCTTGTTTAACTTAGCAACTACAAAAATTGTCATTTATACATACTCCACCGTGCTAGCACCCACTACCTTAGGTGTTTATGGTTGCAATTTTACCTTGAGCTAAGTACTGTTCATATCCGTGTAATCATTTCCACAATCACTCTTCCCAAAAAGATTGGAGACCTCCTCAAAAGTAACTTCCCACTAACTTGTGAATCTAGTATTGGATACCATAACCGACAGCCCTCGATCTTGTGCATGATCCAAGAATAATTACTTTGCAAGTGGATATACTCGGCAAGTGAATATAAGTGGTAATTGGTCATACCCAGCAAGTAGATATACTCGCTAAGTGGTTATACTTGGCAAGTGGATATAAGCGGCAGGTGAGTATAAGCGATAGGTGAGTATAAGCGACAAGCGAGTATAAGCGGTAGGTGAATCAAAATTACGAAAATAGCACTTTCAAGCCCAGTTCATATTTTCACGTTTTTGACATCCAACGTGCTACCACACCTCTCGGAATCAATCAAACACATTTAGGCATGTAATAAACAAGTCAAATCATCACAGTGACTCAACATGCCAATAATGATGCTTGCTCATACTTTTCATCAAATTCAAGCAAAATTATCAAATATCAACCAACAAAGTCAAAAGTACTGAGTAGATTAATATATCTTAGTCCCTAGAGTTTTCACTTAGTTTAAATAAAGATTTGAGCAGCTCAAAGTTTTAGTCACCTTCAATTAAAATAAACTAAATAGAAAGTTAACAATTTTTGTCTTTAAAACAACAATACCCATTGGTAAAAAGTAGCGGAATCCACTAATTCACCTTGCCAACACTTGAAAGATTGTAATAGAAGTTTTAAATAACATGAGTGTGGGATCTTCGCTTTTACTCACAAGATTTGAAATCCAAAGTTGAAAAAGAAAATTAGAAATTTGAAGTTAATGAGGTAGGGGCTCCCACTTTGAAACTTGAAGACTTCTGAAGATCCAATTATACGGCCAAGTAAATGGAAATGTATGTAGTAAAATACACAAGAGTTGCCTAGTAAATAAGATTGATTAACAAAAGTTCAAATA